AAGTAACTGTTCAGTACTGGTGAGACTCTTCGGTCAAAAGGTGCAAAAAGTCTGAAGAGCTGCTGTAGAAGGTTACATGCTAAAGAGGTCTGACAGCTGTAATCCATAGCCCTGAACATATTCTGAACTAGGGAAATAACTCTAAGGCAAATAATTTTATAGAAAGTGTCACGTTGTTGTAATACTGATTTGTTTAGCTGTACTGTGGTTATCTAAGCTAATATCCTCATTCCTAAGAAAATATAGGGAAATGCTTAGGGCTAAGTGGTACGGTATCTGCAACTCATTTTCACATTTTGTTTGTTTGTTTGTTTTTTGTTTTTGAAAGTGTGAGATTAATCCCAGCACTCGGGGCAGATGTAGATGGATCTCTCTGAGTTCTAGGCCAGCCAGGGATACCTGTCTCAAGGGGGAAGGACAGAAAGAGTGTGAGACACAGTGATAAAGTAAGTAGGACGAAATACAGTTTATAAAGTTTCCTCTACCCTGAGTTACATAAAACCAAAAGTTTATCTTAAAACTCCTAAATTAACATCTCTTATGTATCTGCATTGCAAAGAAATTTGAAATTATATGGAGAATGATTGGTTGGTTGGTTTTGTGTTTTTTTAGACAAAGTCTCATGTAGCCAATACTGATTCTGAATTCCCGACATAGCTGATGTACCTTGAACCCCTGATTCCTTTTCCTCCTCTTAAGTGCTAGGGTTATACAAGTGTACCACCATGCCCAACTGTAATTTATTTTTAAAAAGACAAAAAATAGTTCTCATTATTTAAAAAGATAGTGTTGTATGAATGACCAGTCATGCAGAAAAATCCCAAGTTAGTAATAAAGAACAGAAGGACCTGGGTTTTTTGTTTATTGTTCTGTTGTTGCCTCAAGGACCTGTGTTCTATATTAATTTGCCCCAAATGTCTATAAAATAGATATTTTGAGGATTTCTTAACATTTCTTGTTTAACTAATATGCTTTCTTACAAAATGATATTTGTAAAAATTGGATTTAGATGGCTTTTGTTTTACACAAATACTTTTATGAATTTAGTTTTAAATTTTAAGCCAAGGTATGGTGACACATGCTAGTAACCCCTGAACTCAAGAGGACTGTGAGTTTGAGGGCAGTGTGGGCTACATTCAAAACCCGCCCCCCAAAACAAGCCAGATACAAATGTTGATACTTGCTGAAGAATTGAGATTCCGAATACAGCATAGGGATAGTTTTATCTTTTTATTTGTAAAATGCTAGAAAGGATTCAACATGATATGCAGTTGTAATGAGAAATCTAGAATAGTATTATTTGTCGAATATTTGAAAGCTTACCATGTTCAAAATTGTGGTTTGTGTTAGGAGAGCAATGAAAATAAATGAGCTATGCTCCTTTAAAGCAGGCAGTTGAGACAGTGCTTACGACAGAAAAGACATTAAGTAACATAGATGAAATATAGTTAGTCGTGGGAGATAGGAGAAGAGGTAGCATTGAAGTATGAACTTGAACGAGAAGGAGGATTTGAGTGTGTTACACGTGACAAAGAAGGGCTATCCAGGCAGAGGGGACCAAATGGGTGCCGCAGGGAGAGGACTGTATGAGACTACCGGTAATAGAGCTTCCCCTTGAGGAGGGAGGAGTAAAACAGGAGAACTAATTCTTCAGTTCTGCACGTAGTCTATACCAAATACTGTACATTTATTTTCTCACTTAAACGTTACATCTTTACCATCTTTTTGTAAGGGAAGGAGATTGAGACAGAGTCTCACTATTTAGCTTTGGCTGGTCTAGAGCTCACTGTGTAATCCAGGCTGGCTTCAAGTTTACAGAGATCTGCCTGTCTCTGCCTTCTGAGTCCTAGAATTAATTTTATTTAAACCAGGTGATAATGAATTGCAGACTTTGTACCGTTTTAGTTATAAACGTTGGGATTAAAGGCATGTACCACTATGCCTAGCACAACTTTATAATTTTTATTTTTTTATATTAAAGAGTTCAAATTGTAAATAAGTTGTCTGATGTTTGCTACTGTTGACATTGAAATTCCAATTAAGATTTGTTTTAAGATTGTGCTTTCAGTTTTTTTAGAAGTTGATTTTAAAAACTTAAAACCATGAGATCTTGACTATCAGTTTGACTGGATTAAGAGTCCCCTAGATGACACATTTCTGGATGTGTCCATGGGAGGGTTGCCAGAGTGATTTAACTGAGGAGAGAGGACCCATCTTCTGTGAGTCTCTTGACTACCTTAAAATTTTATACTGAGAAACTTGAAAGGCGAACAGAAAACAGGTTTTCTGCAAGCAGAGTGCCCGAATTCATTTCTCTTTTTCCTGACTGTGACTAGCCACAGCAGGCTTCCCTCCCACGATGGATGCGCTCTCAGACTGTGAGCCAAAGTAAACCTTCCTTAAGTTGCTTTTGTTGGGAATTTAGTCAGAGCAATGGGAGAAGAATAAACTAACACAGAAATTGGTATCAAGGAGTGGGCTCCTGTGATAAACCTCACCACATGATTTGTAGGCTTTTGTATCATTTGCAGGAGGAATGTAGAAGAACTCCATGCTAGAATGTAAAATGTAGAATATAGAAGAACTCCAAGCTAGAATGTAGAATGTAGAAGAACTCCACGCTAGAATGTAGAATGTAGAATATAGAACTCCAAGCTAGAATGTAGAATGTAGAAGAACTCCAAGCTAGAATGTAGAATGTAGAATGTAGAAGAACTCCAAGCTAGAATGTAGAATGCAGAATATAGAAGAACTCCACGCTAGAATGTAGAATGTAGAAGAACTCCAAGCTAGAATG